CCCTGTGAAATTTTCCTACATGAAAGGCTAAGTTCATGTTCTGTAACCTCTCTTCTCATTTAATCACTAGAGAGGCGAGGAGGGGGGAAAAGCAAACAGAACAAAGGGGAAGAACCACACTCTGTCCTTCAAAATTAATCCCATCAACTCTCTCTTGCCAGAGACAAGAAATCCCTCACCACAACACAGCATGTGGTTCTTGCTCTCCCTGCCCAGACTGTGCAGCAAGGGGGACAGCAGAAACACAACCAGGTCATCCCCTGCAGCTGAGGGCAGAAAGCCATGAGCTCCCTCATTGAGAAACACTGCCCACAGTTGGCAACGTGTGGAGTATCACCAGTCCCTCACCCAAGGGCCATAGAGTGCTCGAGCAGAAACACTGTGCTGATAGCATTGCAAGCTGGGCAAACCTCAGCACCATCTCTGCTCTGGATCACTTGCAAATAAGGAGCATTTAATGGGCAACTCTTTTGGTAGAATCTGGAGGAGACCAAGCTGCACAGAGGTTTGGGAGCCTGCCCTAAGCAAGGGGAGGGCCTAGGGCCTGCCAGGCAGCACCCAACAGCTGGAGGGAAGGAAGGTTATCTCAGCAAGCCCAGTCATTTTGCAGGTCCTACTTCACCTTCCTAGCATACTTGCAGGCACCAGTCTTCTCCATCCGAGTTCCCACTGACTGATCCAAGGTTATTTGTTTGCTCTTGCTACAGCTCCCTTCAACTGCAATCCACAGCCCATCTAGCTTAATTACACTTTCCTCTCAACAGCCCTGTCTCAACTCATTCAAGGAGAGCACCTCAGACACACAATGGTTCATCCACACAGTTCCATGAGAGCAAACAAGCAAAGGAGGAAGAGAAAACCACAGCTAGAGCCAAGTATCTAATGTCAAGAGAACTTCCCTGTGGGACAAACATTCCAGTCCTCACCTCTGTAATGAAGAGGATGCACTCCAAGAACATGAAATCCTTATGGTTTTCATTTACCACCTTCTCATCAACAAAGTGTCGAGGCTCCAGATTTGGATGGTCTAAAAAGAGCAAAAGACAATATGAAGTAACCTGTACAGCACCCCCCTTCTGAGACCAAGTTCAATCTGGTCTTATCCTGCCCTTCTTCCATAAAAACCAGACATCCCATCAGAGCTCTTCAGAAGTCAGCACAGAGCTGCTCCTTTCCATCTCATCTCCCACTCCAATGCCTCAGCAGTGAGAGCATCTGATAAACTCCACAGGGCAGAAAATGTGTTTTCTAGCACCAAAACCAACACTCTCCTTTTATAAAGCTTGTAGTCATTGCAATAAAGACAGATGTACTGTACAAGGAAGTCTTCCATCTCCCAACCTAAGCAGCTAGCTTTACTTGGAAAGCTGAGGAAAAAAAACAACCAAGCAAACTCTTCTGCTGTATTATACACAAATTTGACATACTTGAATTTAGAAGTCAGTCCCAAGTCCTGTCATCTTTACAACCTAGACAGACAGAGCAGGGGACAGGCTAGGACACAAGAAGATTTTTATTAGTACCTATCAGCTGGGAACTGCCCCATATGAAAGGTAGAAATTGGAAGTCATCCAAGCCCCACACGCCCTGGCTGCCAGCAGGTTCCATCCTGTAGGTCTTCTGAAGTTTTCGCATCACTTCTAGGTACCTGAGACCAAAGAGAAAAGGAAGGGTTTAGACAAGACCTTCCATCTTCACTGACTTACATGAGGACAAGAACAAGCAGTCTGGAGAAGGACACAACAAGCAGGACCCCCACATACAGCACAATACATAGAATATATATTCAGCTCCTTTGCCACAGAAAGCAGCCTGACGGTAGGTATAGTAGCAAATAGCACCATGTCCTGGTCTCAGCTGGGATAGAGTTAATTTTCTTCCTAGTAGCTGGCATGGTCCTGTGGTTTGGATTTAGTATGAGAATAATGTTGACAACACCCTGATGGTTTAGTTGTTGCTGAGCAGTGCTTACACCAGTCAAGGATTTTTCAGCTTCCCATGCTCTGCCAGGGGCACCAGAAGCTGGGAGGGGGCACAGCCAGGACAGCTGACCCCAACTGGCCCAAGGGCTATTCCAGACCATAGGGCATCATGCCCAGTATAGAAACCGGGGGGACTTGGCCATGGGAGCAGCAATCACTGCTTGGGGACAGGCTGAGCATTGGTCAGCGGGTGGTGAGCAATTGCATTGTGTATCACTTGTTTTGTATATTCTCTTATCATTATTATTATTATTATTATTATTGCTACTACTATTATTTTCCTCTGCTGTTTTATTAAACTGTCTTTATTCAACCCATGGGTTTTACTTTTTTCCGATTCTCTCCAGTGGGATGGAAGGAGTGAGCAAACAGCTGTGTGGTGTTCAGCTGCCTGCCAGGTTACACCACAATACAGCACCTTTTAAAAATTGGGGGGTTTACACAAAATTCACTAAGAAAGTAGGTAGCAGAAGTTTACTTTATCTACAGAGTCTCATATTGGTGCAGATCTTTCCCCACCCCCACTGTTATTTGAAAACATTGATACTTCACTCTCCTTCACCAAGATCCAAAAGAGCTCAGAAAGCTTTTCCACCTTATGGCAACTGCTACTTCCACTTTTCAGGTGGGAAATTAAAGCTGGAAGTACTATCAAAGAAAATTGTTTCCATGCCACCAAACAGTGATACAGCTGGGATTAGATCTCTGGACTCCAAACACCCATTCCACCAGTTTCATCACTACCAACTCTACCTCCTGGGCTGGAAACACATCTAGAGGAGCAGTGGAGGCCTGCCAGTTTCATAGATTTTTTTAAATGCTTGAAGAGATGTTAGATCCTCTGATCTGATATTCCTGTCTATCGGACAGCACAGAGCTTCACCCACATACCTCTGCAGAGCTCAATAACTTGTGCTCAGCTAAAGTAACTTTCCAGAAAGGCACTCAGCCTCTAACAGACAAGGTGCTATCACCTTTTTTGGAGATAGTTATAATGGGTCACTGTACAGTCCATTAAAGAGTACATTTTGTCTAAATTTGTCTTCAGTTTTCCCGTTTTGCCCTTTTTCCTTAGGCCAGCAAACACTCACGTTCTCTAATTATGTATATGTCTTTGTAGAAGGCCCTTGATTTGCCCAGCTCACACCCCAGGAGAAGGCTCTTCTGGCAATTTCTCACCAAATGGGTGTGGATGAGTTAAAGAAAGTGGGTTTTCTTCAGACTTCAGGAGGAGTCTAGTGTACAGAAGAGGCAGTAACATCTGCAGACCGCTGGAAGTAGACACTGTCAAGGACCTGCCCCCAAACAGCCCTTCTCCTTCCATTACCTCACCTGTTAAATACTTTAAAGACGATGGCTATCTGGTCATCCACTCTGAGCACACCGATTTTGCAGAGGCAGCAGAGAAAGGCTGCAAATGCAGCTTCGTGCCCTGGAGTTAAAAGAGATAAAGAGATGTGACACTGGTGCCCCTGGTCCCCAGTACAACCTTTTTGTGGGCACCACAACGGCTCTTCAGAAATCACAGCAGTCACATTCCCTGTGTCAAGAGCTCCAGCCAGCTGTCCCTAAGATGCTACCTCATCCCATTAATGACATGAGCTGACAGTATTTCATTCCCACACAGTACCCACCCAAAGTATACCTCCTAGACATTCATAAGGGGATTACTAACTTGGGGGGGGAGCAAGACATTCTTGAGGAAGAACAGCTCTAACACTGGGCATTCTGGGAGCAAAGCAGGGCCTTTCCCAGAAGCTTGGCACAGCATGGGAAGTGGAGCACCACAGAGTTGCCTACTCGGGGGACACAAGAGAACCTCACATCTGCAGGTAAACAGATTTCCTCCCACTTCAAAAATATCTGTATCGGAAGGATGCAGATCCCATGGTGCTGCTGGGAACAGTCCATCCCAGAAGGTACTGGGATCTCAGGCTGAGTCTCTGCAGCTCAGCTCTCCAGCTAAGAGCAAGGAAAAGAAACAACCCGCAAAACCAGAGCAATGCCTTTTGGTGGAAGGGACCACAGAAGAAGGGAGGGTACAAGATCAGCAGCTCCATGCTGCTCCTCCCAGCGTAGGAACGAAGTGCACCTATGGTGAAGCCACTGTGAGCTATGACATGGGCCACTGGCTTGGGACACACAGGAGGGGAGGAAAGGCTGAATTTCTCTCCCTGAGCTGACAAAACCCCAGCCAGTGGGTCCCTTTCCAAAGACAACATCTCCCCCTGGTGCCGGCAAGCTGCAGCTCTCCTGGCAAGCACTGCTCAGCCTCCAGCTCTTCACCCTTTTACCCCTGTCCTCCTGTTCTCCCTGTCCAGGTCCAAAGTTATGTTTTCTTGCACCCACAGGGTCTTGCTCTCCTGCCTCTTGTTGAGGGCACCCTCTCAGCATACCACCTGTCCTCTGGACAGAGGAGCAGTGCATTAGAAGATTCTAGATTTAAGTCTAACTGAAGCCAGCGTAGTTACTCCAACCTGCAATTCAGTGTCTCCTTAGGGGCAAAATGCTTCTTCAGATTTCAAAGCCCCTCTGTAAGCAGTGATGTCACTTCTAGGGAGCACTAGACCTCAAGCCACCTCCCACTGAACGCAAACTTGGTTTCCATTCTAGTTCCAATTAAAGTAACTATATTTTATTCCTCTAAACTGCCTATTGCAGATCTGCCACGCAGGACTGCTGTATATGGTAAAGCAGCTCCTACAGCTTATCCCAGAATGGCCTGCACAGCTTGGTTCACATTTCCTCAGATGAGACATGAAAAGGGTGTCATAGCTCTAGCACAGCCCTGCTCCCAGCCACAGCTCTCTCAGTCGTTGCCCACATTGTATGTAGGGGTGAGGAGGCCCTAGAAAGAAGGTGTTTATATCAAGTTGGCACTAAAATACAGTGCCAATAACATATTAAAATAAATGCAGCACCAGGCTCCCAAAGGAGCCAAGTCTCAACCAGCATGCGTGCCCAGATACCTGTGCCATAGTCAATGCGGGTGGAGTTCCCCACGGATTCCTTCAGGTACACGGCCACTTCTGGTGCAGCATCAGCCAAATGCTTGGGGATCACTGTTGCCACCAACTTTTCTGCTTCCTGAAAGACACAAAAGACTCCCTCAGGTGAGTGCAGATCTGCCACAGCCGCCAGGAGCAAGTCCTCTGCTCAGATACTGCTACAGAGTGGGAGCTGCAATGGTGCACTCCTACAATGGCCAGAGCCAGCACGACAGAGGAGCAAATTCTCCTGTTGAAGAAGTCATCTCCAGAGATGAAGCAATTCAGGGAGGGCTTGTCCTGACACTTATCCAGGCCACATGCATCCTGTAGGAAAAAAACCTTCACCATCCAAGTTACATCAACCCAGTTACCCACTGAGGCATCTCCAGGAGAAAAGCATTAACAGAGCAGCAGACCACCTGCAAGCTCACTGCTGCCAGGACTGGGACTGTGCCTGCGCCACCTCCAGAGCCTGGTGCAGAGCAAGTGCTCTGAGCTGAAGGAAGTCGAGCAGTTTCACAACTTTCCTCTGATTTTGTGTGTCACCCATCATCTAGCAGACACAGTGGGCCGTTACAAAGCAAAGGAGTTCCTAGAGCTTGGAGGGCCCTCATGGACCATCCAGGACTTGGAGACCCAGCCTATTTTGCATTTACATGGACCACATGCTCTCATAAGAGGAGAGGACAGCACTGGATCAGGGTTAAGTAATGTGTATCAAGAGGTGGATCCTTCACAGCTTATTTGAGCAATTCCTCTGCAAGCTGCTTGGCTGCAACACAGTGATGGAGCCATTCTGCTACCCCTGCTGGGCATGCTGCCCTTCTGTAGGAGGTGAATGTAACAGTACACATAAAAGACACACTCACCTGGTCTAGTTTGGCATACCAAGTCCTGAAGGCTTTGTTCCCGAAGCGAGAAGGTTGATCCACTGGTGGGGTTTCATCAATCCATCTGTCAAGGGTGTTCAGAAGAGCCACCAGCTTTTCAATGGGCTACAGAGACAAAGAGGGGTCACGGTGACATAAAACAGAGCAGTCCCTCAGGCTCCAACATCTCTGCCCTGGATTGGAGTCATTGAAGCCCATACCATCATTCCTAAGGGTGGCAAGCAGAAACAGGATGTGCCAACACTTCCCAAAATGCAGAGGGGCTGGGAAAACCATCCTTCCCCTCAGAAGATCAGTCCAGTACAAAGCCCAGCCTGAGGCAGGCTCTCCAGTCGCCCACACAGTCTTTCATGAACTGTAACAGCACTATGCTCTAAAACCTCTGGGAGAAGAGATACAGCAAGCTCCAGGCATACAGGACTGAGAAGCAGGGAAGGGCTACACAATTCAGGGATCTCCAACACAAAACTCAGGCTCTGCATCTTGAGGGTCCTGTGCCCCCACGGAACACAGCACTTACCATATAACCTCACCAGTGGCTGATGATGTGATTTAGAGGCCCTTCTCAAGACTTCTAATCTTTGTCTTCAAGTGTCTCTTAGGAGCCAGGATTAGCAGTGGTGGTGTTAGCATTTGTATGGCACCCAGTGCAGTAGGGCCTAATCACAAGTCAACCTTCTCAGCTTGATTCCTGTTGCTTCAAACTCATACCAGCCAGACTGCTATGGCAGCTCCAACCCAGGGACACCCAGTGCACATGGCAAAATACAACCTAATCAGGGGAAGAGGCAGCCTAGTCTGCCAACCAGTCGTCTCATCAGAGCAAGCACGAGAAGCTCTTGGCTCTCAGAGAAATGTCTCAATACCAACACAAAGCTGATGGCAAGACAAATACAACAGCAAGACAATAGAGCCATCTTTCTTACACCTAGTGCTGGAAAGAGAAAGTGAGGAACCTGTGTAGGATGTATGAGAGTGACCAGAGGAGGCACTGCTGTGGCCATGACAGAAAAGAAGAGAGGTGCAACAGGCAACACAGCATGTCTCAAGCTGTACTGTTAAGACCAGCTGGCTCATGCATGCAGCCTCCTCCCTGCCTTGCCCGTACAGCTGGGAAACAGCTACACCCCATACACCAGGAGGCAGCACCGTAGGCAGCTCTTTAAGCAGCTCCAAACCGTTTTAGGAGGCTCTGCTGACAACTGGTCAAGCCTGCCAGAGGCTCTGGGATTCTCCTCATCTGACTCCAAGCAGCCGGAGAGCCATCAGCAGCCACAGCAGCTGGCCAGGCCCCGGGCAATGTAGGCTCCTCTGTCTCGAGAGGGGATTCCTCCTTCAAGGGGACAAAGAGGACAGAAGAAGCAGCGGCTGGTTTGACTTTGCTGGAGGCATCGACTGTGTGAAGCTGGCTGGTCTCTTGGGCTGTGGTTCAATTCTTCACGCTGCCTGCCGGGAGGACAAGGAAACAGCCGAGCCTAGCAAGTTTCTAGCCCTTGAAGTGCCACTCGAAGGGGGTGGGTGGAGAGACAGGCATGGCAGAGGGGTGCTGCTGCTGAA